TAATTATCATATAAGTTATTTGGATGCATCAATATTGTAAAACACTAAAAATAAATCCACTTTGTATTGTAAGTAAAGGAAAATGCAAATTACAAAGAGACTGTAAAGTATCGAACCATAAGAAATAATTATTCATTAAATCTTATTTTATAAGTTCAGAGGTGACTGTGTTTAAAATGCACATCTTAGCTCATTTTTTAAAAACATTATTTCTTAGTGGTCCAGTTGTTTGGAAAGAGGCCTTCGGAAGCCACTCTTGCCCCACCTTTCCATGCAGAATGATGTCTGTCTTCGGGAGCAATGATGTTTACTTCTGTCTCATCCCCAACCAAGGTCTTGATTTCATTTTTCAATCGTTCGGGAAATCCATTGAGCATTGTGCATTCTCCTGCGAGGACAATGTTCTTGATTAGCGCTTCCCTGTATTTCTCCTCGCAGTTATTAATTGCTTTTACTATTACATTTTGAATGTGAAAATCTTGAAAAATCATTTCTGGGCATTTTAATTGTTCACCGCTAATTGTGATTTGTTGCTCATCATCTACTTTGTATGGAATAGGCTCGATGGGTTCTTTTGACTCTTTAGGATCTGGTACGACAAAGCAATGTTCCTTTAGGATTTCTCTTGCACATTTCAGTCCTTGTGGTGTTTTAGAAATCTTCAGCATATCCATGAGTTTTTCCGTAAGGTCCCGCCCATTACATCCCCAGCTATATGCATTATTCATTTCTTGTAGAACTTCTTTGTTTTCAATGAATGGAGTGACATGAGAAGTACCTTCCCCAAAATTGACAACCAGTCCATCTGAAAGGCCAGAGGCACAGAGCGAAAGAAAATCTTGATTTGTAAGGAAAATTTCAGTAGGATTATATTTTTCAAAAAGAGCATCTAACAGCTTGTCTTTGTCTGGACATTCTGCCGCAAAAATAATCTTGCATTTTGAAGTATCTAATGCCATCCTATTTAGCAGTACTTCATCCAAGACTTTGAAGAGGGCATCGAGATCTGTGATGAGTCCCTTCTTGACTGGATAAATAATATCGTAGGCCACGGGTTTTTTCTCCTCTGCTTCTTCTCCAATCAGAGTTTGGCTTATTGGATTAAGCAAAGACTGCAAGTAAACCAAAAGAAAATGTATAGAATTATAAAACACAAATCTACATATGTAGCTGCATGTATGTCTAACAAATGTGTTAATAATTGTAATTTAATTTGAGAGTACGCAAATGGAGTGTGTTTGACCTAAAGCATTGTTTTTAAATCTATCCAACCTAAAAACAAAGTCAAAGATTTTTCTTTAGATTTGATTCGCATATTTTTTTCCTGTGCCTCAATAACTTAATAATACCCCAAAACAGGACGACCTCTTTCGTACATTTTAATTTCAAAATACTACAGTATTGTATTTTTTACATTCCTTGAGTCATCTGAAAAATGTAACAAAATGGAGGAAAGAAAAAATTGCTTTCTTAGACATGCTAGAAGCAGTAAAATCAATTTAGCTGATTTTCATATCATTTCAAGTATTTTACTGTGCTAAAATAATTGGTTTGCAGAAACCTGCACTCCAGCTTTCGAAATGAATGCTTATAGATATTTGCTCCATGTCATTTTAAAATATTTTATAATTTAACGTATTTTCATATATACCAGCGATAATTCATTAATATTAAGTTAGTTAACATAATGTGTAGGGCATTTGTTATGAAATCAGGACACCTGAATTTGTTTCAATTTGCTGCGATGCAAACACATAAATAAAAGTCACAGGACTTTTGATACGACCATGTCGACTGAAGTCGGTCCGTGTAGGCGTTTTACAATACAGAACCTCCACTGGATAATTTTTACAATTACAAGACTGTTTTACGATAATATGTTTGACGTTAAGGTATTTTCATGCTCAAAATTTTATGTGCTAAAAAAAAAACTGTTTTCATTTTTAATTAAAAAAAGAATAGCAAAAAAAAGTAAACGTTGTTATATTTTTATGAAGTAAGGCAACATTAAACACAAGTGTATGTTTACAATAAAAGGTATTGATTTTTATTAAACAATATCATGAATGTTAGATGAAACTTGATAAAATATATAAATCTGATGTGAAAAATTCCAAAGTAATTGGTACGTTATGAAATACTTATTATCGTTGTGAAATTCAGGGAAAGGCCAGGATTTTACATAATTATGTACAATAAAGAACATGCCTAAATACGCGAGGAGTTATTGCCATTGACAATATTTTTAAAAATTGTATGTCTTGTTAAATAAAGAAAATATACACAAGGAATCACTGTCTAATCAGTAGAGAATGCCAGGGCATCAATGATCATTGGAAACTGGGGATAGGTATTTGCCTAACTTGTCTACTTATTAGAGGTCCTTTCTGCATAAATCATCCCACGTTTCCAACTATCTTTGATGTTTCTGATATATTCCACTAAATAAAAAGATATATATATATATATATATATATATATATATATATATATATATATATATATATATATATATATATATATATATATATATATATATATATATATATATATATATATATATTAATTTCATTTAGAGCAGATAAAGCTGAGATATGCTGATTCTGTAAGTCTGTTTTGATTTTTAATTACCTGTTATGATTTTCACCCTGTTTTATTAGAATATTCTAAATTTAAACAGTTCTGAACCGCCTCTTATAGTGGTGATAAAAAAAGAAATAAAAATCATTATTTTTTTTTATATAAGATAATTATAAGCATATATTGTTTTAAGATACTTGTTGGTATTTTTGGAAAATTTATTTGTGTCTCATATACGTAAGTTATCATTTTCTTTTTACCCGACGAAAAATACACATAGTATGGTTATCAGTTTGCGTATTAAAGCACTTATGGTCAAGGTAAAAACAAGATATTCATAGTAACCACATTTTATCATTGGTTCGAAGAAACTGATAAATTTTTCGAAGTCATAATCACATGCAGTAAGTAAGCATAAGTGATAAAATATTGATAAAAGCGAATTTATTGTAACATGAGGAGACATATTCATCACGTGGCATCATATCATACATTAAATAAAATGATTAAAAATGCTGATTCATTGAAAATTAACCGGTACAAATATCTTAATGTTGTTTAATGAGATAGGATAACTCGGGTATGTTAATTCAATAAATTAACGAATTTTGATATTAAAATGAATCATTTTTTAACTTGTCTAGTTGGTAGAAGTCCTTTCTGCATAAATTATACCAAGTTTCCAACTACGAGGGTTTATCAAAAAGTTCGTGGACTAGAGTCATAAATTAAAACCACTTTAGGCACATCACCGAAATTTTAAATATCAAGTTAACACCATCTTTTCTATCTTAAAAAGCCATAAATCATAAAATTCATCTTTTTATAAATATGTAATGTTTTATAAGCAATGGTATGTCAAGGCGGCGCAATCTCGAGCACGACGTTTTTTCGACCTAAGTGTAGCTGAGAAAAACTCTTCTGATATGATCATTTGACATCCAAAAATCCTGTTCATTCTGGTATGTGTTGGGACACAATTGTTCCATAAAATATAAAATTTTCACTTCATTCTGGATATTCTATGTAATTTTATCGTAAATTTTTCACGGAATGTCCAAACAAAGAAGGCATTGAAAGTGACTTCAAAAGTGGGGAGGGGTTTCCGTTTCCAACATTCTCTGAAGTTTTGCCACAGAAAATACTGATATAGACGAAAAGTACGTTGAAACTGGCTACATAAAATAATACTCAAAAAGAGTACCTGTCTTTTAATGTCGAAATTGATTCAGAGAGAAAACGAATACACATTTAATGTCGATTTACAGTCAAGGTGTGAAAAATCAATCACGTCAAAAATGACATTGATCATGTGTTGTAAATATTGAACTCACAAAAGCAAAATATGTTGGGGCAATCAAGCGCGGATCTCTTCCAGTGTATTCATTCATTTGGAATATTATATTCATTTAAGGCCACTGTTCATGACATTGTAAAGCTTATAAACAAGGCGGGTTTAAGCTGTTATTCAGCTACAGGGAATCTCATCAAAAGAGTGTATGAGGTAGAAGAAGCGGACTTTGAAAATAAACAATGACGTCATAAAAATATACGACGACAGCGCCGGGTGATCATATAAAGTCGTTTTCATTTCATAATAATTCGGCAAATAATGAACATATCAGTCTAAAATTTTCAACATTTCTTAATTTTCTGTTGTTTCATGTTCCATATAAAATTTTGAAAGCAGAGACTACATAGTACTAATTTTATAGCCTCAGTTCACGAACTTTTTGATAACCCCTCATATCTTTGATGTCCCTGACAGACTCCACTGACTAAAGAGTGATTTGTTATATTTTCATTTCATTGCAAAAAAATGTAAATTTGGATTAAAAAAAGTAGCCAAATACATTAAAATTACATAAGCCCTCTCGTGTTTCAATAGTCTCTGTCCACTAACGAGAAACACAAATACAGTCGCAGGAGAATAATTTGTTGCATATATAACAGGCCTCCTTTGTGTCAGACACAAAAACAGTCGTGTGGGATTTACATGCATATCAGGCCTCCTTAGCTCCTTTGCTCTTGACCTGTAGCTTGGCGAAATATACACACCGTTAGAATGAAATATGGATATATTTTTTTATACCCCCACTTGAAAAGTATAGTAATCGTTAATTCCGTCCGTCCGTCTGTCTGTCCGTCCGTCCGTCTGTTACGCTTTTGGGTACCCATCTCTTATCTGCAACTCCTCTTATACCCCTGAATGAAATTTGATGAAACTTTCACAGAACCTTTATTACATATTGCCATTGTGCACCTCCCATTTTACTTTTTGATCCGACACATATTTTGGGTTTTCTGGCAGCAAAACATGGACTTTGCCATTATAAAGTCCATTATAACTGTATGGAGGCGGGGGTATTATTTGGTGAGCTCATCGCTCACAGTACCTATAGTTTGTGAATCCTTTACTTTATTATTATTTGCATCACATACTGAAAAGCAATCAACCAAAAGATTTTTTTTTCAAATAGGTATGAATTTAGAATGAAAACAACTTTTGCAAAAAAACTGACATTAAAGGGGTGTGGTAATGTCTTTCAGTCAGCACATTATAAAAACTTAAATAATTATCTGATTTAAAAAAATCGAATGAGAAATTCGATTTGTGGGTTTGCAGGGAGCAACGAACGTCCTATAATACCTAGAACTATATTAAATCTTACCGTCGTTCCTCAAACTTGCTACTTGTTAGTTGCATACAATGCACCAGGTTTTACCATCATTAGAAATTTCGTTGTATCCCAGACTTTTAGATACACTAATATTTGCATTATTTTTGCAAACAATGTCGCAATGGCACCAAACATTTTTTGTGAATTGTTATTATTCAATAAGAAAATAGTTTTCTCTTGCATGCTAATAAAACCTAGAGGTATAATGCCTGACAACTGCATAAGCTCACTTAATGATACACTCTCCCCCAACCTCTTATAAAATTTTGGATGTAAAAGATATGTTTCTTGGGGAGACCCAAAAAAAGTTTCAGATTGAATAGTAAAATTGAAGGTGTGCAAAAAATTTGCAACAGTATCATAAAATTTAATTCAGTCGTGTAGATGAAGCGGATAAGCTGCATAAAAAATACAAAAGTAAAATTAATACATACTGGTTTTGATATTGCAATAACATTTGGAATCTCCACTGTTGGACCCTCCTCCCCAGAAATCCCAGCTCTGATACATCCTGATCCAACATCAAGTATCACTGTCTTCGAATTCACTGTGTCTTTATCATGGATATCCATGACTGTAAATATTTTAGTCTAATCCCTTAAGTTGAAGTAGATGATTGACTTGTTTGGTCAAAGAATTAAGGCTTATAAACATTTATTTGTTAAGTACGGTTACTCTTTACAGCCTTAATTATCTCAATCTGTAACATCGGTTTAATGATTTAGACCACCTGTTTTGCTTTTATATTAACTGGAACAATTCCTTTTTTGCTTTTTTATAAGACGCCAAATATTTTAAATTAATCCTTTTAAAGCGTCTATTGTAGTGGTTTAAAAACCAAAACCACTATTATTTTTGTTATCTACTAATTATTAACATATACTATTTTAAAGTGCTTGTTGGTGCTGTTTTTTTTAAAGAATTTCATTTGTGTAGCATAATCCTTGGAACTCATTTTTCTTTTTACTTATTCCGAAATTATTTACATATTGATATCATCAAAGTTAAGGATTGTCGCCCGCGTGGTGCAATCGTTAGAGTGTGTGCTCTAGAGTCGCAAAGTAAGGAGTCAATCCTTACGTCGCGGGTTCGAATCCCACTGCAGGACGTAGAGACCGGTCCGTCGGATGAGACCGTAAAAACAGAGGCCCCGTGTCGCAGTAGGTGCTGGCACGAAAAAGATACCTCACTGCTCAAAAGCCCTGAGTGCCAAGCATATGACAAAATTTGTAGCCCTCCACCGGCAAGTGGTGGTGCCTCTATATGAGTGAAAAATTCTCGAGAGGGAAGTTAAACAATATACAATCAATCAATCATAGTGAAGAATTTATAATAATTATACCCTTAAGTCTAGATAGTTCTCTTAATTCTGTTAATCATAATGATTTAGGAATATCCTTTTAATTTGTTGGTTTGGGGATGTGATCAAACAATTAAATTGCATAATTATTTGCATACACGCCGAAGTTGTTTATGAAAATGTATATGATTTCGATTATACAGTCACGCGATCGATGCCCTGTGACCTTTCCTTTCTGTGTGTCTGTATCCTACCGTGTGTATGGCGCTCATCAGTTAACCATTATGTAGAATTAAGTATTTGTATTATTTATCAAAAGATTACTTAAAGATCTTAAAGAAGGAATAAAAGCTAAAATTATTAATATCTAAATTTAACCTCAAATAATTATTTTTGTGGAATTTTTACAACAATATTAAGTGTTTTCTATATGTACCATTCGAGGACCGTTTGTTCTGCTTTTATTTTTGTATTGATTATTAGACATTTGAGCTTGTAAGCTGTTCGTTATAGAACATACAGATGTATATATTTCATTGGTTTATCACCTTCCGTAAACTGAAACGTCAATGAAAGGGAAGGAAAAGTTGCTTAATGATACATATCTGCCTTTTCATCAACTTTGAATAAGCTTTTAGTCATCCTTCGGTTACCTGAATGAAAATTTCATGTGATTTATTTTTTAAATAAACATTCAAGAAGGTTACACAATCAATAAAGCATATCTACGCATTGTTTTTTCCCATATTCTAAGTAAAAATCATATCGGACAATTTTGACTGAAAAATGTTTTTTTTTAAATAAAATATGTCTTGTTTGACTTTCCGTAAGAAGTTTGATTTATCAGTTCATATTTTTAAGAACTTATGGTCAAAGTCAAAACAATATATTAATAACTGTCCGCAAATTTTATCACTGGTTCGAAGAAATGTATAAATAAATTTGTCTAAGTAATAAGTGCATGCAGCAAGTTTATGTATCTGATAAGATATTGATAAAAGCGAATTTGTTGTAACATAAAGAGACATATGCACTCTGTGTTACATGTATTATATTATATATAAATATACTGATTAGAAAGGCTGACTCATGGTTTAATCAGATAAAAATCACTCGGAAATCTTTAAGTTATGAGTTACGCAATGTTATATTTAAATATTCCTGAAACAGTATGAGCCATATTGCATATATAAGTTCCCACGGTAACGAGCTTGATATGTTGTTCAAAATGTTAATTGTAAAGTAACTGAAAAGTATAAGTAATAAAATATGTTCAAATCAAACAATGTTAACTGTAAAATCCCTTTTTTAAAATTTTTTTTTTGGTTTAAAAGTTGTTTTTATGTGCTGGAATGAAACATGGATGTCTGGAACAGTTGTGAATGTGTAATCTAAAAATAGAACAAATAGTGGTTGTTTAATCCCCTTTCTCAATATATCTATTTTTATTTTGTTCAGAAAGTGTTAGTGTGTAAAATAAAGTGGGACTGGGAAGAAACAAATGGAGATAACGAACAGATAAAATACTGGGGACTCATTCCACAAAAGTTTCGAGATGTTAAAAATGAATTGTTAAGAATGACATGTAAAACTCATGGTTTAATGTACCTGAAGGGTACAGTGGAGCCCACATCCTTATATAATCATGTATGATATACTAAACCAAATAAAAATAAAGCTGCTTTATGTATCTGACCCCAACATCTGATGAAGGAACAGACACGAAGCATAATGGAGCTATAGGGGGACCTGCTCCCCAAATATTAAAAAAAAAAATGTTGAATATGTTCATTAAACATTGCCCCCCCCCCCTCCCCATTTCCCAAACTTGTGTTGCAGTTTAGTTAAATTGGGTATTGTTGTACTTAATGAAAATAAAAGATATTGGATCCTATTTTACATGTCAGGTTTTTTTAAGCGAGTCAATTTTTTACCGACTTTTCTACCCCCACAACCCTTTTAAAACGAAGCTACCTACCTGAGTTAATTTTACTTAGCGACTGTACCCTCAATAAACTGGAATACCTTCTAAGAATCTGGAATTCTTGGACTATTTTAATTATATTAACCCAAATTAATTTTATTTTTTTAAGGAGGCAAGGTTGTTATTTTAATTGTTGGGGCATATGAGTCTATATGATGGCAACCTAAAGGCTTTTGTAATAAATAAAGACAATTTTAAGCAGTATACTTGCAGTATTTCTTAATTTTCATTTGGGTTTGAATCATGTTTGAGTGTACGATTCACTTACATAAGATATAAAAAATGCAAACTCTTTACTAGTGTATTGTTCCTGTATTTTCAGGTCAAAACAAGAACAAGTTCCTTATTGCGTATTTTGCATGGCGAGTGATTTCTGGTTTGCATAATCAAATTACTTAGTTAATGCAGGTAGTTGGACATACACGATGTCTGATTGACTCAGGTTTTGATAGGGCAAAAAATTTAAGTTGTTTCGCCGCACAGACTTAGAGAGCATGAGTGAACTTCAGATAGTTTTTGATAAGTCTTCAACAACAAACAAAGGTACAAAGTATTCTCTACGACAACAGAAGAGAGTCTACATGGAAAAACTATATCTGGAAAGAGTTTTGGGCCGATTCTTCACCTCGTTACAGTTCAGTATCTTTATAAGAAGGTCAGACCATATATACGTCCAAGACGTCAAGATGAATTATGCCAGACTGAAGAATAGCTCACCTAGGCTATTTATTTTCCAATAAAAATGTAACAAATGTAACCAATGCAAAAAAAATTGTTTCATTGACAAAATAACACAATATCTTTTGATTGTTAAACATTTTTTGAAAATAAAATTAATGCAAAAGAAAAAAAAATATGTTTGAAACAACAGGTTCTCACTGGGATTGATGTGTGACGTTTTTGGCGTCAAAGACAGGATTCTGACGTTTAGGTTATTAGCACTTATTAATGAGATATACAAATAATTTTTATATATTACATTTCGTTGCGTTTTCTTCTACCGAAATCAGCAAAAATCTGAATTTGTGATTTTTATGTCATTAGACCCCTTTTTCTCAAACAGTCTGGCTCATATGTTTTGAAGCAGGATGAAAATAAAAACAATTTGTATGCTACTTGTGTGTCATTTATATTGTGAATATTTTTATTAATTAATTACTTTTATCCTCCAAAACACTTTTTCATATAGAAAGTGTTTTCTAGTTAAGTATACGTCAATCATGTTCATGCATTAAAGACAGTTCAATAACCCGCTGATCAGTCAAGTGTACAAAACCATATGTTGGCAAAATTGTAATATATTCTTTTTCTATAAAATGTTGAAATGATTCATTTTGAAAATAAGCCATTGAGTGCAAATGGATCCTCCTCTTGTAGCTGTTATTTTTATTTTCTACTTAAGAACGAGATTACATGACTCTACGTTTAAGAGTTGTTTTTTTAAATTATGAGACGTGGCTTAAAGGTTCTCAAGTTAACCATTATTGGAATGTATATCGTGTATAATGTTTTGGAAAAAAAAATTAACACACAATAAGAAAAAACTTAATTTTGTTTCATTTAATTCTCTTCATTAATAATAAAATGAAAATAAATCTTGGTAAGGCATCTTTGTTTTTGTGTTGAATTTTGCGGTTCTCTGTAAAAGAAAAACAATAGAATTATAAGAAACAGCAACAACAACAAAAAAAAAAAACTAGACTGGCAGGTTACATGCATAAATTATACCTAGAATTTCACCCTGGTTAAAATACAATTTTGAAATGTTGAATGAAATTTTATTAAAAAAAAAAGAAATATTTTCTTACTTATCATACATCCATGGAAAAGTGCTCCTATGCTTTCTTCTTACACATTTTTCTCAATGCTTTAAAAACTAAATCAAAAATATAAATATTGAATGTCATGAAGTATTTTCCATCTATCACCTTCTTTTAAATTATTATTTAATTGTTATAGGAATTTCATTGGTGTCATGGACAGGAATCATTTCATGAAATATAAAATACAAAAAGCATATGAGTCCTATGGTCACAAACTCAACTGAACTGTATTTTCTTTATTGTTTCTTAATAAAAATTATTGTTTAGAAAGCATATGTTTATTGATTTGAATGTTTTAGCTTCGAGAACAATGTGGATTGTATCATTGCGTCACTCATGTAAATTCTACAACATTCAATTTGTTAAATTTGTATGCGATTTAAATGAACGTTTTTGCAACTTATGTAACAAATTGAATGTTCAACCATTAAAAAATAAATATATCCTGTTTGCATTCGATGTGGA